GTAAATTGCTGATAATATTTCTCTTAGCAAGCATTCTGGTAAGTGGGAGCGTTTTACCTTTACTGAGATATATTTACCAATGTTTCTTTTCATTGTCTCTCTTTTCTTGACCAGGTTGCTTTATAGATGACAATGGAATTGAATTTCCAGTAGGACAACTCTGGTCACTGGGTGATCCCTGTGAGTTATGCATCTGCCAGGTGAATGATAACCTGCTCTATTTTCACTTAGTTTTAAACTTCCAGTCTCCTATCACACAATTTTATTTGTTTGTTTGTTTGTTTGTTTATTATCATCAGATTTTTATCCCACCTTTGGTAGAGTAGCCCCCTAACACTCCCCAGCGAAGATTCAGATGGATACTTTGAAGAATGTAGCTGAAACTCCAGTTGTGTTTGCCTGGGTAACCTAGGATACATGGGGCAGAGTCAAATAGCTACGTTAAATGCTATCCTCCAGTATCTGAGTTGGCAGAAAAAGTATGCTGGCATATATCACGTTGCCCTCCTTGGTAATCCCTAGTCTGCTTCAATAATGAGGCCACCATTTTACTGTTTCCATGCTGGACAAGTTAAGGAAGGTGATCAGTGGACTCCCTGGGCTTAATTTCCCCTCCCATCAAGGGGAATATTAGTTATCAACTATCATTCATTGATAACAGCAGCTGCAGCTACTGCGGCTCCACCCCCAGCATTGCCTCGCTCACTCCAGAGGTTCATCCCGAAGCAAGTAATGCAAGTGATCAGGAGACTCCACTTATGAACCCAGCTGCACTAGGAAATGTTGGACTCCACCAAACCAGACCAGGAGAGGCCATCAGGTTGCATCTCAATGAACCACCAAGTATCATCCCTCCTTCTTGGCTAGGCCACTCGGCAGTTCCTCAGATAAAGCCAGAATCCATTGTACCACTTATAAATAACCCAGAAGGCTTTGGGGATCCTCCTGGCAGATCAACTGGGTCCTCTGGGACTGATTCTAGCCCGTCTTCTCTCTATTCAAGAGCAAGCAGACCCCCTCCATTCCCCATTGCTGCTCCTACTTCCATTCCAGCCACTCCAGCTAACCTCAGAAATTCCATAACTGCTTTAT